TGAATACTTCCAGTGATGGGGAGTTCACCACTTTCTGGAATAGTCATTTCCATGATTCTTTTGCCCTGTTAGACAGTACATGAATTAAAGTTTACTTCACTGTGACTTCCTCTCATTCATTAATCTGTCCTCTGGTGTTGCGCCAACTCTCATCCCCCCTTACCTATAACTCCGTGAAATGAGGCACCAAGGACAATGCTTACAGAAATGTAAAACTCAAACAAAAAACGGGGGAAATTCCAAAACAAAAAAGAGGACTGTATTGTCCTTAGAATTAGTCAATTCTAACATTTCCTACTTTTGTTTATGTAGTTACTAGTTATATATCTCAAAGCAGTGCTTTTCTGCATTTTTTTTAATGTCCTTGGCATATAAAAGGTGTCTGTCCTGGCTTCTGGACTTCCCCAGAGCAGGGAGCTCTGCCGTGAAAGGAAAATGTAATCAGATGTTAGGAAGCCCATGGATGTGTAGGCTCTTGGGAAGGTTTAGATCAGGTTTAAAATGACTTTTTAAATCTCAAAACATCTTTAGCACATTTCCGAATCTCAGCCATGTGTGATGGTTAAAGCCAAATAGGACCTTGAAATTCATGTCAACCTCTTGCTTTTGTTTACTTCAGAAGTTCTGAGGAATTTATTGTATTTCCCAAGAAGGCCACAGTCGATTATAGGGAGAGCCAAACCCAGATCCTAAGTCCTTTGTGTGAGTGTGCTCTCGGTGAGCCCACTAGATTGACAGACTGCTCTCCCCAAGTAGATCACATACTCTCCAAAGTCCAGTGCATCTTATTTTAAAACTCAGATATACATTGTGCTGAAGAATGATTTTGAGAGGTTCTGGAGGGCCATCTGGCAGTTGGCGTAAACTGAGCTTTGTAAAGCCCTTCACTGCTTAACTGTGCCATGTGACCTTGAGAAATGGCTCTCATTTTTCCTCAGCCTTCTTTTTCTTATCTGTAACATGAAGATAAGATTGCCTACTTTATTTTGCTTTTGTGAAGACAGGGAAATATTTATAAAGTACACAGCAGGGCACTTTGTTCATTGGTTTACTCAAGAGTAGTTACTGTTAGGAGAAAACTTTTCAAATTTTCCTAATAATATTTTTAACAAATAAAGCTCAACAAAAATAAATAAACTCAATTTAAAAACATCAACAGAATGTGCAAAATTGTGCTTATACTGTTCTTAGGTAGGAAACTTCAAAGACTAAATACTTATAAGAAATTTTGACTCATATGTTGTATAAATATGAATGATAAGAAAGGGAACACAGTGAGAAGCATTTTTTCTTACTTTTTCCCCCCTGCTACTCATTTTCTTTTGCAGGAAACTAATTTTATCATTTTTGTGGGTGTGTACCTCTTATAAACGTGTCTTCTGCATGTATTTAATAAGCCTTCACTATTAAATGATTTCTATTTTCCTCCTTCTCTCTACCTCTTAACAATAAGATTAATCGTTGAATCAATAACCCTAGGTCATTGTTGTCAATACTTTCTGGGATGATAAAAGTGTCTTATATGTGTCTATTATAATACCCATTAGCAAAAGCTCTTGAAATGTAGCTTTTGCTGCTGAAGACCAGTTTAAATTTTAAATTTTTATTTAATTTTAAGTTAAATAACCACAGGTAACTGGCTAATGACTACCATACTGGATAAGGCCATGCTAGATATTTATACCTGTGACCCCCCCCCTTTTTTTTTAAAGATTATTTATGACTAAAGAACTGGGGTACAGCTCAGAGATACAAGGGTGAGAGGATTCACCAGAGATAGAGTGGGGAGCAGAACAGGCAGATTGATGAAGTACACTGCTGAGGGGAGCAGCAGGTGGGTCAAGACAGGTCTGCCACACCATCTGGGTCACCTCCATGGCATGGGATCGAACTCATGCTACAGTGTCTGTGATAGCTTCATAGTGCTGTGTTTTAACCCGTTGCACCACCAGGGAGGACCCGCCTCTGACAGTTTTTACAGAAAATTTGGACCTGAAATTATGGAATTAATGAAGAAGTCATATAGAACTTGTCATTTAATGTTATTTAAAGAGATTTGTAGCTTAATACATTTTAAATTATATTGGGTTAATGTATTTTCTTTTTAAATTAAATAAGGAGACAGGAGTTTATTTTTCAAAACATGCTGCTAATTAGAGAAAGCTGAGAAATGGCATGTTGTAGAACCCCATTGTCTAAGAGCAGTTTGAACTCAACTGAGTTCAAACCTGGCCTCATTTATCCACCCATTCATTCAAGAACTATTTGTGGAATACCTGGTGTGTACCATGCAGACCTGAGATTACAGCATTTAACAAAACTTAAATCCCGGCCTTCAGGAAGCTTTCACTAAAGTGCTGATGTAGTGAAACCTACTCTGAGCACTTGATGCCTGTTCAGTTGCCTCCAATGGGACTGACCTCTGCAGAGACAAAGAAAGGAACTTGCTCAAGGCCCGAGCTTTGATTGCTGCCAGTATTATTTCCTTTTAAAAAGGAAAAAACTCCAAAGGAATGTTTTTATATAGCTACCATGAGTACTTTCTTTAGCACTGTCATCCTATTTATTTTTTCAGTTTGCTAAATCTGGGCTGGGATGCTGTAAGATATGAGGAATGCATATCTTACAAGTGTACAAAATTTTAATGTAAGTAGGCCAGTAGATTCCAGTGCTGTAGTATCTCTTTCTAGAAAGGCAAAATAAGAAGCTTGGATTCCTGTCACTGAGCCACACTGCCCCATCCTCTGCCCTTCTGTAAGATCTGACTAGTGTAATTGCCCTTATCTTTTGGCTTTTACATAATATCTGGGATCTGATTACTTCTTAGTATTAGTATCTGATTTGTGTTATTCTTTTTACTTTTCTGTATTTTCTGCTTTTTTCTCCAACATGCATGTGTATTATTTTCAGAATAAAACAAGTAATGATGAATGATATTGTGTCAAACAGTTGTCAGAAAGATAAAGCTAAAATGGCCCAGTGGAGGCAGAGATAAAAAAAATAGAGGTGAATCTGGGAAAAAGTTAGAGTTGACAGGGCTAGTTACAGTAGTGAGAGAAGAGTGAATAATGAGCGCTTTTTTTTTTTTTTAAGATTTATTTATTCGTACACAACTGGGATACAGGCCAGAGATGCGGAGGGTGAGAGAATCCACCAGAGACAGAGTGGGGAAGAGAACAGGCAGATCAACAAAGTACTGCTGAGGGGAGCAGCGGGCGGGTCAGGAGAGGTCTGCCTCGCCATGTGGTCGCCTCCGGGGCAGGCGGGGATCGAACTCATGTGGTGGAAGTGGCTTAAGCTTCTTAGTGCTGTGCTTTAACCCGCTGCGCCACCAGGGAGGGCCCAAGCACTTGTTTTATATAACTGTGATATTTTAAGGAAAGACAAATGTAGCATAACAAAATAAATTAACAAAAGTTAGGGTCATAGCAATCAAATATTAAGCCTACCTTGACATTTTTTTGGTCCATGATGCAAATATGTACATTTTGGGATCATTAGAAACGTTAGGTGAAATAAAGGGAGTTTATGTTCTTGTAAGACCTTTTTTAGGTTTATCATAACTTAATGATAAAAAAACACAGTTGTGGGAATGTTTTATTTGGATGACTGTAAGCTGACTTGAAGAACAAAATAGAAGGCCCAAAAGGTAAAACCATAAAAAGAATTCTCAGCAGCATTAACCTATATCACATTTATCAGATTGGCAGCTATCCCCCCTTAGAAAGATGTTAACAATATATTTTCATTCTTTGAAGGGAGGATTTTACAGTGAACTTTCAGAGCTCATGTCTCATTGCTCATGAGTGCATTGGTCAGCTATTAGTAATCACAACTATATATATATATATGTATGTATCTATGTTGTCACTAGAGCATCCTCTCGCCCAGGAAATGCAGTTCTTTTGTCAGCACTAATGTGTATGTGTTTAAGGGAGAAAGAATTATTCAGGCCTGAACCAGTTCACACCTTGCAAAATCTTTGTACCCAATGCAAGCCAATTACAAAGGAATTGTCTTTATAAATGTGCATCAGCTCAAAGGTGACATTGAAAACTAGAAGTACTTTAAAAATGGAACACTCCAAACATGACATTTTAATATGGAAACTAATTGGATTTTTAAAATTCCACAGTATTTAATAAGCCTATAGAAGTATATAGTTTTATTCTCAGATCAGAGCACTTTACCAAGTTTTCTAAGATTTAAAAAATTTTCTGTGGATCTAAACCTGAAGGACACATATAAGAATTTCTGCCATTAGAAAGGAAAAAAAACAGGGGCTCCCTGGTGGCACACGCGGTGAAGTCTCAGCTTTCCCTATGAAGCTCTCCCCAGCGCTATAGCTCTAGCTCCATTCCTGGCCACAGAGGTGACACACATGACACAGTAGACCTCTCCTATCTCATCATCTACTCCCCTCAGCACTGTATTTCAATAGATCCACCTGTTCTGCCCCCCACTCTGTCTCTGGTGAATTCTCTCACCCCCTACACCTCTGGCCTCGTTCTTATATGCACAAATAAATAAATCTTTTTTTTAAAAAAATTGGGATATAGTTAATAATAAAAAAAAAGTGTTTTTAAAAAAGATTCATTTATTTATGCATACAAGAACTGGGGTACAGGCCAGAAATGCAGGGCAAGGGGTGGGGGGAGGAGAGGATTCACCAGAGACATTGGGGAACAGAACAGTTAGATGGACTGAAATACACTGTAAGGGGAGACAAGAGAGGTCTGCTGTGCCATGTGGGTCACTTCCCTGGCCAGGGATCGAACTCCTTCCCAAGCAGCTACAGTTAGCTTTTAGTGCTGCTCTATAATTTGTTGCCCTCAGGGAGGGCCCCAAAGTGGTTTTTTTTTGTTTTGTTTTTGTTTTTATATATCAGTTTCTTAACACTTAGCAGCAAGGAATTAATTTCTTAAAACACAGCAGCATGAAATTAATATAATTGCTCCCAGCAAATAATTTCTCCATTTTCCCTCTCCCTTTATTCCTAGGTTGAAAAAGAAAAAGCAAGCCAAACAAAATGCAGAGACAGCCTCAGCTCTAGCTGCAAGGACACAAACTGGAGACGAAGATACTAATACACTCACTTTAGAACAAGATAAATGCAACATTGCTGTGGAAGAGTATATTGCTGATGAAAAAAAAAAGAGAAAAAATAATCAGTTAAAGGAGATCAGGCGTACAGAACTAAAGAGATATTATAGTGTTGGTGAGTATTGATGGCAACACTGCAGCATGTTCATTTATAAAATCTGTAATAATTTTCAAAGACTAATTTGTAACTTATCATCATTATAATAGCTTATTTAGAAGTTACTATGTGCCTCCAGCCCCTCCTTTACATACATAATCTTTTGTAAAGGGATGGCAATGAAATAATGGTGGTGGCCTTTCTTGACCTTTGTGTTCCCAGCATCTAGAACACAGTTTGTGCTAATAAGTATCAAGTGATATTTATTATTTGAGTTTTGGCTCACTTTGTCTGAATGAGAAGTGTGTTTCTTAGTATATATAGATATCCAACAAAGTTTTGGTAGAGCTGTCTGTACTTCTTGGCTTCAGCTAGACAATAGAAAATGGAGTACTTGGGAGTTTTGGTTAAGTATTATCTTAAAATGAGTCCATAATTTTATATAGTTCTTCAGAACAGTCATTGACCTGAAACTGCATTATTGAAAGGGCCATATCATGGAGATGATAATCTTGCTTGCATCGTTCATCTCAACCTACTGTTCTTTTCCCTATATGCCTGCAGTATGTTGAAAAGAGTATGCAAAGAAAAGGAAGCAGGACTACCAACTTGATGTGGCACATAGTATATTAAGATTGCTAGGCTGAATGATAGAGTAAAGGGAGTTCTGTGAACATTTAATAATGTTTATCAGAGTTGAAATGGGCCGCTGTTTGGGTGTGAACAAGAGTCCATGAAGTCAATTCCAATGTAAGTTTGTGGGGAAGGGTTCCCCATACCAATAGGCAATTCTCAGACACCAGTAGATGGCACTATCAATTCTGACTCTACCTGGACATAGCATCAGAGTAGTCCACATGTTAAGGGCTCAATCACCCAAGACTGCCCTCTACTTCATATGGCAGTTGTAAGCACAGGTTATTCATAACATGTGCTTCTGACCAACTAGATACCAATCTGAATTACCCACAACCTCCTCCTCAGTTGGATTAATTTGCCAGTGGGACTCACAGAGCTCAGAAAGTCTATCTACATACTAGTTCATCAAAACACTAAAAAGACACTAAAACATAGATGTCAGCAGCCAGATGAAGAGATACATCGGATAAAGTACCCCAAAATAAAGATCTGTCCCCTTGGAATTGGGGTCTGGCAAGGTCACTGGTCTTCTCTGATGAGGAAGCTCATCAGAGCCCCTCCTACTTTTGATTTTTGTGCAGACTTCATCGCACAGGCATGACTACTTGAATCATGCACCATTGGTAATTGAATTCAATCTAACCCCTCTCTGAAATCAAAGGGCAGAACTGAAAATTCAACTTTTGTTTATTGTTGGTTTCCTTGGCAACCAGCCCCCCTCCCCTTCAGGTACTTTACAAAGGTCACCTTCTTCATATAAAAAAGACTTTTTCCCTAGAAAACTCCTTTGTTTATTTTCGCTGAGGTAAAATTGGTCTAAATATAATATATTATTCAAAGACTTAGGTTATATCTCCTCAGATGCACCCACAGCCTTAGATGTTCCCCACTTCCAAGGCACCCACAGCCTTCCACCATAGTCCATTGAATTACCTCTCTTTATTTATTTACCACATTTTCAAAATCAGATTTCTGGAATTTGTTACTGGTTCAGTTTTTTCTGACCCTTTTATCTTGTATCTCTATATTCCACATATAAATGAAACCATCTGGTGTTGTGTTTCTCTTTCCAACTTATTTCATTTAGCATAATCCCTTCCATTTCCATCATGTTGTCAAAAATAGTGAGGGCTCATCTTAACTAAAGATATGTTGAACACTTTCAACGTTTGGAAGTCCAGAAGGTTTGGGAACTGTGAGTCAGGAACTATGGGTGAATACCAAATATGTATGAGAAATATGTTTTCTTTATATGTCACACATGATAGGCTGTTAGTAAGTACTGACATTGTTCCAACAGAGGCAAACAAGTGATGTGCCCCCCAAAAGCCTGTGCTATGTAGCATTCTATTGGGTTGGTGTGATTACAAGTATCAAATAGCTTAATAGCTTAACTTTTAATCTCAAGTCATTCAGTATTTCATAAAATGCAATAACTTCCAATTTATTGAAAGAGTTTTCCTTGGGATTAGAAAACTTCCTCTTAAAAACTTAAAGTGTTGAGTATTCTCCCATATTCCCCCAAAGTGGAAGAATATTATGGGAAATTGCAGTTCACATATTCTGTTATATATGACTGACAGACATTAGACATTTTAGGCCAGCTGATGAAGTACACTGCTGACAGGAGCTGCGGGCGGGTCACGAGAAGTCTGCCGAGTCATGTGGATCACCTCTGGGGCTGGGGATCGAACTCATGCTGAAGTGGCTTTATCTTCTTAGTGCTGTGCTTTAACCTGCTGTGCCACCAGGGAGGGCCCTGAAAATGCTTTTTTTATAGTGTTTAAAATGGTGTCTTTCTTCATCCTTCTTTCAAATTCTGTTGCTTACATAGTGTTTTAAATTGAGACATTTTGCTCTGTATGGTTTTCCTGACAGAGGCTGGTAGAGCCCTATCTACTGAGGTTTCTTTGTAGGCCGATGCTGTTCCCTGTGGGCACTACGTTGGGATAGCATTTAACGGTGCCTCTTTTGAATGTGTAATACTTTGAGTCTGAAAGAAACCCTTCTCTTCACTTTACCTAAGTAACTCACAAAACCTTTGACTCTACCTATGTAATTCACTTAGCTTCACAAAATCTGCTCAGTGATCATTTCTTCCAGCAAGTTTTCTCCTTCTCTGTCAAGGTTAGATTTCCCTTTTGCATTGTCATCTTGGAATTATTCATCTGCTTCCCTATTTATAGGCTGTATGATTTAGATGCTGTATTGTTAGCTTGTGCAGAATCTGCAGCATTGCAGATATTCTTTAAATGTGCATTGAATGGATGAGTAAACATACAGATGAACACTGTTTTGATTTGAGTTTCATGGAAATCCTGGAAGGATACAGGTGACAACACAATTATCACAAATATTATTTGTGATAATATGATCACAATTATCCTGTGATTATAACTGGGAGCAATAAGTAAAGAGATGTCAATCTAACTTTTTGTTTCTCAGAAATGGCAGTGATAACAACTTGTTTAGAGATTTGGGGCTTTTCCTTAGGAAAATCCACTGCTTGAATGAAACCACTGAATCCCAGAGTTCCCTTCCATTTTCACATCTGGCTATCTGACTGCCATTTTTGCTTCATATCACAGGACTGACCTAGCACATCTTAAGTTTTGCATCCCAGGAGACTGTTCTGCACCAGTAGGTGGAGCATTACACTCAAGTGAAGAGTAGTCTGAACTCCAGTTCACTGTTTCTTATGGTGTCTCTAGTCAGAGGAGAAAATATGCTAAAATGGGAGGTTCTTAGCCACACTCAGCATTGGGCTTTGTCTTATTGTCAACAGGGAGATAGGAAAATTCCATCAACTCTGTTTTATGATAATATAGCTGTGTGGCAGTGAGCCTGAAGGCAGGTTTTTCTGTTTGGAGACTAGGACCTAGGAGAAAGGGCACTCTGAGGAGAGTTTGTGTACACACAGAAAGAGCAGTATTTGGTTACAAGTGTGAGGGAGAAATGTGAAGAGGAAAGAGAACTGCATCAAGATTTGATGAAACTGAAAAAGGAGGAAGAAAGATAGTGAATTGATATTAAGAGATGATTTTGAGGTACTTAGTGGACACGTCAAGAAGGGCTTAACTTTCAAGGGTGAAAAATTGCCACTTTATTAGTAATAGGTAAATTCATATGTGTAAAAAGTCATCCAGGAAATACACTATCAAAAGTTAAGAAAGTTAATGATTGACAGTATAAAATTGCAAAGGAGTTTTGATTTCTTTTTCATTTTGTACATATTACTTATTTCATAGTTATTTTTAATATTAATCAGAAAATATAGAAGACTAATAATAGAGTAAATGTAAAAGGAGTAGACAATTTTAAAGTTCTATTAGCAACACAAAAGAAAATACTTTCCATAGTATCCATTTCCACATTTACAACATTACCTACCTGAGCTAAGGATGTATATTTGACAAAATGTTTTTACTTGGTTCCGTAGATTTATTTATACCTAATGGAAGTCTTGAGTAATCATTGCTGTGGCCCAACACTTAGAAAAACACATCGGTTAAGATGCTGATAAAAAGACATGATAGAAATATTGAATCACTAGGACAGTCCCAATTCTAAGAATGTTTTATTTTGCTGTTGAGAGAGGAGAAAGGAAATGAATAATTACATTTGAGGCAGATGGTTCCAAGTTGATTCTAGATCCAGCACTTAGCAAAGCACTTGGCACACAGTAAGCATTGCAAAAAAAAAAATCAAACACACTTTTAGAATAAGTGAACTCAGTGTTTCTGAGATTGCATTTGTATTTTCAGATATACAGCATTTTTTCACTTATAGTTATTAATAACTATATTATAGTTATTATAGTTAATAACTATGATAGCTTATAATTAATACCTTAAATTTGACAGAGATATGTTGGGATATTTATATGTGCATTAAAAATTGGGCCATAATATAATATTAAAATTAATTAAATTGATGTGAATAATATCACACAATTCTCTTCTATTAAAGAAATTAATTTTTCCCTAATCTTAAAATAGTACCCATCTTTGCCTATAGAAATGCAGATGGGAATAGGAAATTTACAAATATGCATAACATATCAATAAGGAAGTTCAACTGAAACACAGGTGTGTAAATGTAAGATTCAAAAGAAATGGCGACATTTTATAAATACAGGAGGCAAGCCTAAGTTGGAATAAATAATTATCTGATTCTGTAGGGCTTTTAATATAAAAGATTAACACCAAGAATCTTGGATCATAAAATAGAAATCTTAAGAGAAGTATATTTGGAGGTTATTGTATCACAAATAAACACACACAAAAAAGGAAATATGGCCAGTTTTGTGATTATTTTGATCACAGATTTATTTTGAGAATGTTTGCAATGTAAAGAATGAATTTGCTTTTTAATAATGA